TTCTATGCTCACTTTGGAGGAAGCTATTTTAGCACTGACAGGAAATGATCACTACTTAAAAGTTTGGAAATGCTTAAAATGCATGAGCATTTAAGCCCACTGAAGCACATTTTCTGGTTGTAATATAAGCTGAGAAATCACGCCACGTAAGTTTCACTGGTTTCACAGACTAATGAACAAACCTTGTCAGCTTTGCTTTCAGTGCGATTGATCCTAAGTTCGAACACCTCGTGAATAGAGTATGCATTCCTGATGCGCTGCCGGATTCGCTGTTTCAATCGGATCGCAACCGGGCCAACCAAGTCACATTTCGCGGCGTCCCTGTCTGACATCAAGCCGGCCACCGTAGCCGTCTGTTTTTTGCTGTTCACTAAAACTTTTGCTCATTTAAGAGGCACTTCTAAATTGTTTCCTGATGAAATCATTAAAAACGATGACCTTTATCGCTGCTATAGAGCACAGATTCCGGATCACTGACGAACATCGAGCGTGGCATATTGTAGCGACGGCTTATTTGGATTTGTATGTAGCCGACACCAATAATAACAATCGGCTTTGTCTTTGGCAGGAAATCCAAGTCTTTCTTAATTTTGAAAATATACAGCGGAGTAAAAAAATTTTTTGAAATTAGCAAACTACTTGTCTATTTGGTGTCAGTAAGTGGTCACGCGACACTCTCACTCCAGGTTTACATTTTCTGTACAAACCGGCATAATTTCTGTAGAAACCCGATTGCTGGGTTGAAAATCCAGAATAAAGTGCGGGCACACATTCCTAACGAACAAACATTCACACACGAATATCCAAATAGATGAAAAACAAACACATGATTTCAACATTATTTATTCTGCACCGCTATTACAGCGCAAAATTCACAATGATAACAGACGCGATCTTTCTATTTTGCGGCATGTAATTTTTGACAGTGATTGCTATTGTGCCAGACTATTGCTGAAGCTCACAGTGCAGCAAACGTTTGTTTCATCAGTATTTTTTTCTACGATTATTTATTTGAATCTGCATTTTTAATAGACTTAAGCAACACCGAACAGAAAAAAGGAAACTTAGTCGAAAGCGCATCGGCTGCCTGTGCGAAGATTCGTTTTTCTCACAGTTCCTCCGCAGGTTTTTGTTGCTAATGGCACTGTTTTTTTCCGGCAGATGCTTCTTGCTAAGGGAATTTAAATTAGGCACCACGACTGTTAGAAATTATTGCAATGACTCCCAATCCATGCCCGAAGAATTCAACACTCTAGATGCTTCGGTCGCAGAATTACATCAAATTTAACGTGTTCGTATTTGAGTGGCAACATGGACGCTTTCTTCCTGCGTGGTTTTTCACATAGGTCCTGTACAACGCTCAAAAACTTTCAGCTCTCCAGCTGCTCTGATTGCGAAGTTACGCCAAATTTCACGTGAGACTTGAAAGTGTTCGTACGTGAGACGTGAAAGTGATGTGTAAATCGTTTTTGCGTCCATCTGATCAAAGCCCACCGTCAGTTACGCTCAGAAAGATCTAACCCTTTAGCTGCTTCAATTCTGAAGTTACAAAAACGCAAGCGTGAAATTTTCACGTGTCCGTACTTGGGATGCAGAAGGGCTGGAAAACTCAATTTACTTTCACGAGCACAACATTGGGCGGCAAGTAAAGCTGCAAAATTGTAGCGCTCTGCAGTTTATTGGTCAGCTTAAACTTGGAGTTGGCCTGATGCCAGTTTAGGCTTTGACGTGTACACACTTGAAAAACTAGGAATTTAGAGGTGTATGAATACTTAATTTTAAATCTTTGGATGAGACACGGCCAAGGGACATTACTATGATGTTCCAGCCTCCTAACATGTGCCGTTCCCGAATACGCTTTCACGCCAAAAAACTTTCACGTGTCCGTAC